GGCGCATTATGGTGCCGAAAAGCCTTGCTCATCCACACTTAAACGACAACATTTTGACGTTCCAATGTCATCGTGTTTAGGTGATTTTTCCAGTGACGATTGTCCGAACCGTTTTCATTACCAGAACGATTACTCCTTACGCGATATGATTCTGAATAATCGCTTGTTCATTTTAAATGTGAGAAATCTCTAGTGGCTCTCATAAAACGTTCTATTCTTGTAAAAATTCTCAATTTCCACACCAAAACATTTGCTCCTGAACATTTCTGATGTGCCTTGTCTAACTGGAGTTAATCAAATTCAGAAGAGCCAATTGCGGAAGAGGAATACGACGATGAGATCGCTTGTTCGTTGGAGACGAGTTCCGATGGCGATGCAGATGATGAACATTTACATAAATGTTTAGCAAGTGAGGATGGTACGTGCATCCATTCTAACTAATCAAAACAAAATTCATCTCGGAAGCATTGGCTGAGCGAGATTAAAAGCAGTTATCTTTCCTTCTCTTGGGAGTTGGATCAATTGGTCTTTTCAACTAATATCTGATATCAGTGTCTATCAATGTTGTCCCACATCACGCTTTGTGTCAATCATGCAGTTTTTTTTTGTAGATAGTACAGAGTATGGTACAATGACTCTGCGAAAACGAAATGGTTTCTGTCCGGAGAAAATATCGGAGAATCATCGTGAACTGCAAACAAGGCGAGAGGTAGCTATAGTGGAACGTGTTGAGGGCGATTTCGTTGAGAATGTCTTCAGCTCGAATGGCAAGGATGCTATCAGGTTGGTAAAGAAAAAGCTATGTTGTTCGCCACCATGCGATTTGTTTTAATTACCAGTAGTACGTGAGCTGTAGCTTATCCCATCCATCCAGTTAGCAATATCATAACTCATTATGAACATACAATTCTGTGATATTATGAACCCCGTCGTTTCCTCACATCTTTTCAGTATTCAACGAGATATTTAATGAAAACATCGACGAACTTGAGTTTTTTCGAGTAACCATTCATTTGTGGATCTCAGAGAAGGATTTGCTCAGTAATTGATCTCAGAGCTGTTCAATGAGTTAGCATGAGTTATACAGTACAGTTTCTGTACACCTCTACTAAGGGACTGAATGTGATTACAATGCTATAACAGTATGGTGTACCATTCCGCCGTGTTTTCCAGTTTTCTTGAGCAACCTAGAGAAATAATCCATATTTAGATGTTTCATGTGAAATTGGTGAAATTGTCTTTCGATCAGTTTGCCTCATGTAATGTTCATGAAATGTTTAAATTTCAGCAAATCACCGAGTGTAAATGGTACAGCTAATCATAAAGATGATGTATGTATTAATTCGTTGTTGAATATGAGTAGCAATACAGAAACTATTTCGAGTGGAACTCATACACTGTGCTCTCGCAAAACACTCAATTCGCATTCGGTCAGTATCCTGATTTCAATAATTCTAGCTAATCATGAAATATCTCACTGATATTACGTAATTCAGACTCTGTATCCCAGTAATGTTTCTTATTTTTTGCGTATCTTAATCAAATTTGTTTGAAAATCTCAGTATGTCCATTGTCACATTCAAATTTGAAAGAATATCCCAATGATTCTTGTGACCTTTTCGATATCCATTGTCGATAAAGATCTTATAATTTAACATTTCGTGTTTCACAAGTATTGTTACCTGGGTATTGGCTCCACGATTCTAAGAGCTTAATTATCAAAATCATTCATTCGTCTGTATTAACTAATCGTCAAATGTCTAATTGATTGCAGTTACCACGAACTCATCCACGTTGTTACACTCATGAAAATCCGCTATTTGAATCTCTCGATGACATTCCCTCAAGTATTCGTGCCATCTCGCCTGTGATCTCGCCACCACGCCTAAGAGGCGGATTTTGTTTGGATCCGGGAACCAAAATCCAGGAATATGTTGAACGGTAAGTGAAAGAACAATTGCGCTTTCATCACCATACGTATTAATTTGCAGATTCTAAAAATTCTAATCCGAATTTCTCCTGGCCGTTTCAAATTTGCTCTCATTTGAAATTTTGTCTCGTTTCATGATTTCTTCAATACTTCGAAATTTATATGAATTTGATCTTTTTGATCAAATGATTATTTTGTTGAAGTGAAAACCATCTGCAAACGGTCTCCATAAAACGTCTTGTTAGCTCATCTCACATTCGTTTTCAGGTNAGGTTATCTGCCCAAGAAAACACGGTATTCGGTGCAACATTGCGTCGCTTCATTGAATGTACAATTGAAGGTGAAGAAAGTGATCCTCAGGTACTGTCTACGTGTCATATATCATTGATATTCTGCTTCTTATCAGTCTACGAACTGATTACTCGCTCCAATCGCTATTTTCTATCTTGAATTCGAAAATTTGAAATTCGTTGGCAGAAACTTCCATACTGGTTCAATTCTCGATAGTGATAGGTACTAAGCGATTTAGCTGTGGATTGATTTATTGAATGATTGA